TCATAATCTTCGGTGAGATGTGTTTCCAGATGCTGTAGTTCGTTTGTGACATCCACATCTGAAAAATGCCATTAGCTTGTTTTCAAGCAGTCCTCGAAAAATGGAAACGGCCGCAAGTGCTGCTAACGAGTGTATACTGTTTGCCAGGTGTTACAAACTATTTCCCAGTACTTTCACCTTTCAAACTGAATGGATTATGAAGAGATTTCGCTTTATCTATCATGTGGCGTTTTTTTTTTTTTTTTTTTTTCTGATACTCCAAAGAATCTTACTTGAAACTTTTTTATCAAAAATAGCCAATTCTTCTTCAAAACTGTTGTGCCATTTCTCCTTGTGTCACTTCAAAAAACCTTAAAACTTTTCAGGGTTGACCTGTTTGCTGCAATCTACTTTTTATTCATAGCAGTCCAATTATTTTCCAGGAGTTAGTGTCCTTCCTCTCCTCATGGCACTATAGAAAATCTACAGCAGCCTTTCTCTCTCCCTTTCTTTGGTACTTCAAAGAATCTCAGTCAACTACATGTCAAAAACTCACGACAGAATCGAGAGGAACGAAAAAATGCGAAAGACAAAAGCGCTGAGAAGGTTAAAAAAACGATGAGAAATTTCATGTTCTAATTAATACTTATTTTCCATAACACTCAGCTCATTACTAATATGCATTACACAATTAATTCAACTCAAACTTTCACTAACTTCAATTACCACAATCATCTTACTGATGAGGTCCAGTTGTGGCAATGGTAAGAAATGTATACGGTTTAGTGGACCGAAGAGCTTCTTACCGCTATAATAATCTCACAAATTTTCCAATTTTCATTTCTCATTTTCCTTTTCCTTTTTTTCTCCATTCTCTCCTATTATGACTTTTTATTCCACTACCACGTATAGTAACTAAATTTTCCGAGAAACCCTTGCTCCTTTCTCAGGCGTTTCAAACACAGCATTTTATTCAAATTTAATAAAAAATTTAATAAAAAATGGAACATACAAAGTCTGTAGTAATATTTGGGTGTCAGAGCACCGGTACGTAGTTCGGCAAGCATTTGCGAAGCATGTTTTAGCGCATCCATCAGTGCACCTTTGTCCAGGCATCGTTTCATCTCGAACGACTCGGAACGCACCACTCGGCTCGCCTCCTCCAGCAAATTCTCCTGCTCCGAGCGCAGCATCATCTCATCGTCTTTCGTCATCGCCCCTTCGCTTTCCCTGTGGAAAATTTCATCGAACGATAAGCATTGGTACACTAAAAGTGCCAAAATGGCCGCTACACAACTGCTGACCAAGGATCACTGCTTTGGACCTATGGGAAAATCGAAAAAAAAATGTAATTACGGAGTAATCTGGGATGGCAAAAAAAAGCATCCTAATTCTGTAGAAACCATGCCAAATTTCAACTGTATGCTGAATTTCGCTAATAAAAGGTCAGGCTCACATACTTGGTATGGTGCTTCATGCGCTGTAGAAATTTTAGAGATATAAACAATGAATATTCCTGGCTAGGAGACTGGAAGAGGACTTGAGGTAGCAATGTATGTTGAGTTGGCAATTATTTCAGGAGATGAAACGAGCGTCAACCAAATGCCAGCAGCAAGCTGACCACTGAGAGACAAAGCAGTGGTCAGCGAAGCAACCGGAAATGTTGACAGCTGCATAGTTGGAGAAGCCAACTATTACAGTTTTGGACAGTTAGAAAATTTTGCCGCTCATCATCACCACAGACTCCCCAAAGATGCAAAGATCCCGCACGAATTTTATCTAGATCCATAAAAATCCACGAAACACGGCAAGTATCCCGTTGGTTTTCCGAAATCTAGGAACTTAACTATTCATTGTACACTACATGTAACCTTATGAAGTAATGATCATACCGATATTCAATCAAGCACATGTTTCAGTGATATCCACAGAATGTCGAATTAATCAGTGTGGTACAAGAGACCTGTGTAACAGAACAGAACAAAGACAATATATCAAAAAATTTATTCAAATATCAAAAAATCTATTCAAAAATTAGAAATTCTTTTTTACTAATTTTCAGCTCTTAAAAAAGTAAAAAACTTTGCTTATTATTTCGAAACTTTTTTTCTATGATTCGTTTCGATCGCAAATTGGTACTGGCATACAGTGAAGAGTCAAATTTGCCATCAGTTTATTGTAAGCGATCTTCAAAAATCCCCGAATGATTGCGTCTCTCAGAGAAAGCGAAAATGGAAACGCTTTGACTTTTTGACTTCGGGGGGTTTCAGAGCCAAAAACTGGAAAATTCCGGAAATATTTTTCCAGAAACATAAGTATCATTCTACATTCAACCAGAAATCAAAAAAAAAACATACACTAAAACTCCTTGCAAAGAATCAAACTGGAAGAGAAAATGAACGACACAACCGGCAATAGGTCACACTGGGATTACAATGTACTGGTAATAATCATAATGAGGTTTGTAATCAAAAATATCACAAAATGCAAAAATTCTAATGAAATAGTAATTGAAAAAAAAAAACAGAAATACAACTACAATTAGAGAGAAAGACAGAATAGAACAAGTGAATTTTAAGGCAAAATGCAAATTCTGGTAAAAAAAAATGCAAAATTTGCGAGCAATACTGCCAAGAAACAAAGTGTATAATTTGCACCACACAAAAACTAAAGCCTAAGAAAAGTGAACGTTCACTGGCAACAAAACTGTGGCAAAAGGTATTTTCTCGAAATTTGATTAAAAAATAAGAAATTTTCGGAAAAAAATTCTAGATCAGCATAAAAGAACAAAACACACTGTAAAGGCTATAAAAAAAAGAAAACTGGAATAATAATAAAATAAAAATTATACAAAAAAGTACAGAAAAGTCATAAAATATTTAGCATTATGAGTAAGCTTTACACCGGGGTTTTTACGAGATATAAATACTAACATTCGAAAATACAGCATTTATAACAACAAAAGAAAATACAGCACTTATAACTACAAAAGAAATGCCTAAGGCTCGAAAAATAATTGGTTGAACCAAAGTGAAAAGCAAAAAATTGGGAAAAAGTAAAAAAAAACACCGGATATGGATGATGTGTGAAGAAGATATGCAAATTCCACACGGCAAATGTGTTGGAAAGTTTTACAGGATCAATAAGTGAATAAAATATGATTAAGATATGATTGCAATAAGTGATTAATACAACTACACGATGAAAGTAATAGGTGATAAGTGTACTATGATAACAAAATGGAAGCAATCGACTGTATTTTTTGGGACTAGAAAAAATAAAAAAACAGCCAGTTCTACCCGCTTTTGCACTAAGTTGTACAAAAAAAAAAAAATCCGGAAGACATAAAAAGTTAAATTATTACACAAATAATGGTTTAATATATCTAATATCACAAAATTCAAAAACATATTTACTAAACAACTGCAAGTGATAAAGGTAATAAAATTGATAACAAATATTTGTGCCCCTGATAATCACAATGATATTTGCATCCATCATGTTTTTTTCTGGCCTGAGTTTTTCTAAAACAGCGATTGCTGCTTTACTTAGAACCCATATTTTTATGCGGTTAAAACTCTTATGTTCCTGATTCTATTGTCAAAATATTGCAGTCGGTCCCCTGGACGAAAAAGAAAGTTGTCTAGGCCATAAGGTCAAAGCCTCGGCGATTCCATGTAATGATGCTGGCACCCCCATGTGATGGGGAGCGGTAACTTTATACTTTTGCAGTTAATCGTCTGTAGTACTCATTTAAACAATTCTGGTTTAATAACCCAAATTTGAGGCAGCGAAACAGACGCCAGGATCACCAGCATGCTGATCACTGGGCGCTACAACGCTCATAAAGCAACTCAAAAATTGTCAGCTGCACGGATCGAGAGCTATCGTGCGAATTAAAAACTGTTCCAGGCAATCTAGGCACTCAAGTATTAACTCTGTCAATAATTCAGCTATGAAAATTGCTTAATATTTGTTAATACCAATTGCTAAGGTAAAATATTTTCCTTCTTAACATTAATTGTTACTCCCTTTTCTTCTGTACACTAATTCTAGTGTTTTTCTGAAGGACTTTGTACATTAATCGTACAGCAAATTTCGCTGTTATATAAATCGCGAAAACAGTAGAAATGGTAATGCTCAGGAAGAAGAGAATAACATCCACCAAAAAATACTGCAATAAATTCAATTCATCGGCGCCTGAGCGAGCATGAGGCACCTGAAACAAAACGAATATGAGGGGGTAAATGGTAAGTTACTGGAATATTCCCACGTGCCAGGCGCGGATATGCTAGACCCCTTAACTCAGAGTTCATCCGAACAGCCGGTATTAATAGCTTCGAGTTAGGGGATCCATTTTAATTGTCTTTCAGACAGTACCTATCGCCTGTTCAATGTATATAAGCCACTTCCATCACTCGTATAGACGGATCTCCATCGCCCCCCTCCCGCTCCTTTGCCCCCAATGGTACAGGCACCAGTGCTACAAAAGTCCGGGTCTAAAGCTAAAACTAAACTAAAACCCTGAGCAGCAATGTTACAACTTTATTCCTAGTTTTTGTATAGTTCCAAGATGGG